ATCCCCTTCCAAGTGTATGACAGTGGTAGCTGGGCACCATCTAATTCTTCTGGTCTCAAAATTTTAAACAAGATAATGCAAAAAAAACAAAAAAACAAAAAAACTGTACTTGAAGCTGTGACATGATTGCTCTGATTTTTTTCCATAGCGTTCACCTTTAGCAACTTTGGGTTTGACCTATTGGTGTTCATCATCTTGTACCACAATCTGATCCCCATTAGTCTGCTGGTGACTCTTGAAATTGTGAAATATATTCAGGGTCTCTTTATCAACTGGGTGAGTATTAAAAGTAGAGAGTTAACAACATTCTCTCTTAAGCTATGGCTTTTGTTCACTTTCTAAGAATCCATTAAGATGATTTTAAGAATCATTGCTGTTCATTGCTGTTGAGTTGGCTCCAGCTCACAGTGACCTTATGTGTAAGAGAACAAAACATTTCCTGGTCCTGTACTAGCTGTCATATCTGAGAAGAGTCCCTGGGTGGGGCACATGGTTACGCACTCAACGGTTAACCACAAGTGGCTCAGACTCATCTAGAAGGGCCTACTCAGAAGGGCCTGGTGGCCTGCTTCTGAGCAGTTCCATTCTGCACACACAGGATCACCATGACTCAGAATCAACTCTGTGGCAACCGGTTGGTTCATTTATTTATTTATTTTTTATGAGAGGGCCAGTGCCACTGACTGACCCTGATGCCCTTGAGAGTCAAGCCAAGCACTGGTGTTAACCTGGGCCTTTCTGAGTCACTCTGAGGACAGCATTTTTTCAGATTTTATTTTGTTGATAAGAAAGATTTAAGAGATAATGCTTCAGTATCACTTTCAGTGGAGAGTGATGAAACCAAAACCAAACTCAGTGCCGTCGAGTCAGATCTGACTCATAGCAACCCCTCCTTGGGTTTCCAAGGCAGCATCTTTATGAAAGTAGATGGCCCAGTCTTCCTTCCGAGGAGGAGCTAGTGGGTTTGAACCACCAGCCTTCTGGTTAGCAATCAGGAGAAAAATTCAGGCTACTCGAAGAAGAGGATCCAGTAGACTTACCAGTGGATTCTGATATTTTCGGGGTGACATGCTTGGCAAGAATGATAGATTCTTTCTAGAATCACTCAAATTAAAGAAGAGATTTCTTAGGTGACAGCTTTGGGCTGATTTTAGTTAATACTCAACAAGTTCAGCAAACTCAGTGTGGTGTTGAAAGTCTTAATTATACAGGCAGCCCCCGAATTACAAACCTCCAACTTAACTACATACAACCCAGAGTTACAAGACATCCCCCTCCATAAAATTCGAGGTACATACAATGGTTCTTAGTAACAAACAGGTACTACTTTGTGACATGCATGAAAACATTATTATTATTATTATTACCGTATGGTGGCATAGTGCCTAGGGCATTTGACTGCTAACTAGAAGCTTGGTGGTTCAAACCCACTGGCCACTCCACAGAAGGAAGACAGGGCAATCTACTTCCATAAAGATTTATTGCCTCAGAAACCCAGTGGGGGTTGCTATGAGTTGGAACCAACATGATGGCAGTAGGTTTGGTTTGGTTTGGTTTACTATGTTAAAGATGCTTT